CTACATTATCTAAGGTTGGTTTGATGGTAATGAATAATAAGAGTTTGAATGTCTAACTTCTTGAAACATATCCAAGTAATACATCGGTTTGAGTCAAGGCATAGAGATGAAGGGGAATCATCAACTCATTGATGAATGCCTTCAGTTTTTCTGAGAAACCAGAAATGAGCTGCACCTCAGTGGTAAATCTTTCTTCCTGTTGGAAGATGCACCCTTCGGGTTTAATTGGTTGAGGGCCAGCCCTGTCCTTCTGCTATCCCATTGTTTCTTTTCCTCTCTATCTCCTCCCCCTCCATGCTGGAAGAAGAGAAGCAGATTCTTCTTGCCAGAGATCTCTATATGCCCTTTCCTCTCCTCTGAGACTGTTCCAATGCATTTATTTTTGCACACATTTTTCAAATGGATGCATGCCACTAGTTTCTGAAGCACATCTATCTGTGTTTTAGTAATGTGCACAGAATTGTTAAATCAGCATATGGCGTTGAATGCCTCCCCTGCCCCCACCACTATTTTGCATAGAGGACAAGCTTGGAAACCTGTAGACTTCCAAATAATAATTGCATTTGTCTTCTTGTTCAGTCTAGGAGATACGGATAGGTAAATCTCTTTTTAAAAGAACTTGACGAAGCAACACATTCCCTTGTCAGAAATGATCACTGACAAAGTACTTTGAAATTAGTCCAGGGAGCATCAGTTGTTTATACCTGAGCTAGAAGCCTGTGTGCTTCCTCTTCCCACTTGTCATTTTCACTTTGTAGCTTAGAAGTTACTATGGTTTGTCAGGATATTCAAATCAGTTAGCCATAGGGTTAGCACTTGCCCTCCAGACCACAGCTACAAGTAGCCAATTCAAACTGCAGCTGCCAATTCTGGTTTAAAGAGCAAATGCTGACCCTAGTTAACCAATCTGAATAAGATGGCATTGTTTTGTCCTGTATTACTCATGGGAGACTGAGAGAATGGCATGGTGGAGTTTGAGTTGAATGTCTCCTGATTCTTCCCCCAGACTCTTAAGTGTTATAGAAATTAAGAGCAGTGGAAAGTTGGAAAGTACTGTACAGAAAGGCAATCTAAGTCTATGCCCTTCCTCAAGCCAGGAACACCACTTCAAAACAATTGACACAACCCAGATGCTACATATCTTAAGTAGGAGCAGGGTAGTAAAATGTGAATAGGCAAAGAACTGCTGATTACCCAAGGAAGCAAGATGAATCATTATGCAATAAAGATAGATAAGTGCCGCTCTCTCTCTCTCTATGCTGTTCTACAATTGGCTAGTAGCTGTGGCAGTTATAATAATAAGAGTGTGCCATCAAGTCAGTTCTGACTTATGGAGACCCTTTTCAGGGTTTTCCAGGAAGAAACCCTTTTCAGGGTTTTCTAGGAAGAAAGTGCACAAAAAGTGGTTTACCATTCCCTTCTGGGGGAGCTGTAGAACTGTGCATCTTGCTCAAAGCCACGTTCCCTTCTGGGGGAGCTGTAGAACTGTGCAGCTTGCCAAAGCCATGTAGGCTGGCTATACTCACAGGAGGCACAGTGGAGAATTGAACTCCCAACTTCTGGCTGCACAGGCAGATACTTAACTCACTGAATTATCCAGCCACCCTTATATCCCATCCCCCAAAAATACATTCTAATGGGGTGGGAATAAATTTGTACACACTGAAGATCCCTGAGCTGAAATCCACAAGGTAGGTTTCATATATTCCTCTCTTTCTACCCCATGATAATTTTTTCTTTCATCAAGCTGATAGAAGAATGCAACAACTCTCATAGCATTTTTTGTCCCCCTCATCATCTGATTTCCAACCTGCATTTATTAAAGCTCAATAAAGGAAGTTACGACCTTGAGTTTGCCAGAGCTGAGCGGAGCTCTAGGACTTTCTGGAGGTCACTGATTCACAGGATTGCCATAAGTTGGAATTAACTTGACTGCACATAACAGCAACAAATGTATTTGTCAAGACATTGTAGTCATCGGTTCTGGTGATCCAGACAGCTTTTTTAAGTGAGGCAGTTTCAGCGTGCAAATCCCCTTCTCTGAGATGCACAGAGTTCGCTCACTAAAGCAAAGAGCACAAGAAGCTGTTGCTTGCCTGCCTCTCATTTGCATGCTTTTCTGTGTGGCTCCCCCCAGTCAGATCCCAAAGCCACACCACACTGATTATCTTCAGAAAGGGAGGGGTTGCCATGGCAACTGAGCACTTTTTAAAGCACCGGGAATACTGTTCATTATTGTTCAGTGTCTTTAGCAGTCCAGGGAAAAGGTCAGTGTGGCGGTTCCTTTCCATATGAGTTTTGTCCGCCACACTAAAGGCAAAGTCTGAAATGTGCCCGCAATGCCTGTAAAATGGTGAGTGACAACGAAACATTGAGCTGTTGTAGGAACTGTGCACTTTCGTTCTCGGCTTGCATTTATTGTCTCGGGAGGTGGATGGGGGAAAGTATTCAGATGGGGAAGAAACTTTGTGCATGGAGGAAGAGTCTGACTTGCTGTTGTAAATGGAAATGTTGCATCTTAGAGTAAGCTTTGTAAAATCTGTATTTTGTTTCATTTCCCACCAATATAATATAAATGTTCTGCTGTCTGATCATTTTGTCACTGCTAAACAAAATGATTTCTGTGCCTTTGGATCAGATTTCTTTTCACCCCTTCTCTGCAGTATTTAAACTATTGCAGTCCTGAAACTATTCAGAGAAAAGGAGCATAAGCACGAGGGTGGGGATGGCTGAGAGAACTTAATACTGTTTGATTTAAAAACAAAAGTTGCTACAGATAGATATTACAGTATAATGAGGAAGAAGTAACTTGAATCTGGTCTGTTTCTGTGTATTCCTCTTGACTGTTTTGAATAATTGTGTCCCCACCTTGCTTGCAGAAAATCTGTGCTGCACATCAAAAACATTTTATTTTTATTGTATCATGGCGGGGGTCATATTCATCAGGCAGAACAAAGATACTAAGTTCCATTGGCTAAAAGAACAGCTCCTGTGATTAAAGTTACGTATGTGTAACTTGACTCCAGGTGGCTTTTGTGAAAAAAAAACGGAGGATGCTTTCATGAAGTGGGTCAGTTTGGGGTTATACAGAGGAGGAAGATCAGGTTAATGTAGAGGGCAGCCTGATTCCATCCTTTGCAGTGCTAGACCTTTTCATCAACTCAAATCTCAGATTCAGTATACATTTTTGAAAGCCTTATAAGTAAAAGTGAAATAGAAATAAAAAGTTTAAAAAGACAAAAATGTGGTGGCACCTTAAAGACTAACTTTTATATATATATTTAATGTGAAGTTTTGTGGACGAGTTCACTTCATCAGACATAAGACTAGAGATTTAACATGACAAATATTCATCCATGGTATCAGAATAAAGATATCAAATACAGATATCGTGGTTGGTTGGTTGGTAAGAAAGTTAGTTGGTGTTTAACATTGTGATGATAGCGTCTTTGATATGCAGGACTTTTGAAAGCCTGCAGCCTACCTAATTGTGCTCACTTGAGGACAACATATTTCCTGAGTTTGAAGAGCTCTGGTTTATCATATGCCACCACTGCTCTGGTCTCCCAAGACGGATTGCTTGAATCTAGGGTCCTTGGAACACTTGTGCTTAATCTGAGGACTGAATATGGTAGTTTAACAATCCAGTTTTTATTCCTCCCCACCCCAACATCCTTCAGGATTTATGACATGCAACACAAGCTTTAGAAGTCTCCCTCCTGTGCTCTGTCTCATATGAACTTACGTATACTTATATCAGAAGATATTTTAGAAACCTTGAATTGATGTGTAACTATAATAAACAACAGAATACTAATTATTTTTCAGCTATAATTTTCAAGCGTATTCATGATAAGTAAATGTGGTCCCTAGCCGAAAGAAAAGAAAGATGAGGAAAGATAGTAATGCCTGGTTGTGAAAATGCCTTTTCTAAATGCTTACTCACTAGATCAGTATAATTGAGAGTATTTTCAATTGTCTGTGTTCTAGTGTTGCATTCCTGAGATAAGTATCTATTGGAGGGGCTGTTTATATTACTGTAGATCATGTTCCATCACAGTCTTTAAAAGAAAAAGAATGAGATATGTTTTTCTATAAGTAAAACAATTCTCAGTTATCCGTAGAAAAGTTAAATCCATATTTTATACTGGTGGTATTTGCCCTGTAAGTAGGATTTTATGACTTCTTGGGAATACAAATCAAGATATTTTGGTTTTTTTCCCCAAGGCTCACAGCAATTCATTTTGAGATGCCATTCTGTCACTGACAAGGCACCCTTATGCTCCATCTTCCAGTCAACAATTTGGAATTGTTAAATAGTAATGAACGCAAATGAGATGGAATTGTTATTGGATTAAGCGTGGCTAAAGGCCTCAAAGTGGGATTTACCTCTCTAATTGTCCCTTTTGACTTATTCCATTTAGAAACAGTTTCCATCTTTGCTTAATCAGTCCTGTTTCTGCTTCTTTAAAAAGAGAGAGAGAGAGAGGAGGATACTTTTCTTGTTACTTAACCCTCTTCCCTGGATTTCACTTGTTACATTTACATTTTAGTTGTTTTTCCATTTTGGCTGCTTTAAAGGCACAAGAGCAAAGCCAACCCTCTCCCTGCAACTTGGTAACTTCATTCCATTGTCTCTTCAACACACCTCCAATAGTCTTTAGAATGTTTATCATTTTACATGTTGTACTTCTTCAGAGAGACCCAAGAACTGCACTTACTTACTTTTACATCTGAAAGATCACATTTGTGAAATTTGGTTAAGTTTCCCCACATACCCCCCCCACAAAACTACTTGACAGCAGAGGCTGATACTTTCCCCTTCTCTGTGGCTGACATTTTGAAGGGAATTTATCAGCTTTTACGGATGTCTCTTTATAAGAGCAACACAATCATATGTTTTGGAGTTCTGCGTCTCTGACTCACCCTAAGTTGCACATTCACTACCATCACTTCAATATCAAACATAACTGACCAGGCTGTGTTTTATTGTTTTTCAGATGCCCGACCAGTTTGATCAAAATGTGGTGCTGAACCAGCTGCGTTACTCTGGTATGCTTGAGACAGTGCGAATACGAAGGGCTGGTTTTCCAGTGCGGAGGCCATTCCAAGATTTCCATAAAAGGTAACCCTCCTTGCTTATGAAATTATAACAAGGAGAAGCCTATCGAGGCGTCTAAGATTATAGGAGTGGATAATGGTTTAAGTGGAGGCAATTTTTCATTTTTAAAGGAGACCACTCTGGTCATTTTTTTTTGTTTGTTTGTTTCTACAGATACAGAGTCCTGATGAGAAACCTAACCCTCCCTGAAGATATAAAAGGAAAATGTTCTGCCCTCCTTCAATTGTATGACAGCACAAACACTGAATGGCAGCTTGGAAAATCTAAGGTGAATTTTAAAAAATGAATATTCTTATTGCAAAACTAGGAGTTAGTGAAACTTCCAGCTATGCTGTTATTTGTGTATATAGGAAAAGGTAGTATTTTTGACATTGCTATGAGCCCACCATCTACACTCCACATCTGTTCAATGTTCCCTGCATCCATGATATTGGTCCTGCCTCCTGCAGTGCAGGGTTAAAACTAGTGTCAAAAGAGTAAAAAAAAAAGGGGGGGACTTGCTTTCCAGATGTTTTTACACCATCATTGGGTGGTGGTTCATTTGTATTTTGCTATGCCCTGATTTCCTCTAGTGCTGATCTGCACACTTTGTGGGTGGGTATCATTTGATGGTGTTTCCTTATGGGCCTATTCTGTTGATCCATACACTTCCTTTATGTTCATAAACCTTGGACTACACTAGCATTTCTTCACAGGGCTATATGACAGTTGCCAAGGCCTTTTTTCCATATCCTAATTTATGTGTTTGCGGACCTCCTTTGGCATACCTTACAGGTGAAACTAAAATTTGACCTCGCATGTGGGGTCAACTTTTCTTATTGCAGTAGACTTCCGAGCAAGCATTAGTTCTTTAAAAGCTCTAACCAACTCTAGAAGCTCTCCAGAAGGATAGAGAAGTTCTCAAGAGAACAATGCAGGACAAGAAAACTTTTTACAGTTGATTTTCTCACTCTTCTCTCAGATATTACTTCTTTCACGAAATCTTGTTTTTGCACTTTTTTCAAGGTGTTTATTCGTGAATCTTTGGAGCAGCAGCTGGAAAAACAACGAGAGATAGAAGTTGACAAAGCAGCAATGATCATCCGGGCCTATGTCTTGGGCTACATGGCACGGTAAATAATTAGCAGATAGTTTTACTATGAGACCTCTAGACTATCTAAGACAGTCTTGTCTACTGTTAGCTAATAACATATCTGAAGCCTGCTTTTATGTGGGATCCCAGGCTTTCATAGCATTCCTGCCTAAGACTAAAGATTATCAGTGGTCTGAACTAGACTCACATACTTGTTACCAGAGCATTGCTTTCTAATTCTGAAAAGTGTAACAAAAGAAGTGGAGTAGACGCTACACAGTTGTATCAGTTTGATTCCACTTTAAGTGATATGGCTTTGACCTGTGGAATCCTGGGGTTTGTAGTTTGGTGAGCTGCTGAGAATGCTATGCTACATAGTTCTAGTGCACTCCCCTGAACTATAGCTGAGAATTCTGGGTACCTCCCCAAACTACAGATCTCAAGATTCCATAGGCCAAAGTCATGACGGTGAAAATGGAAACAAACTGCTATGACTTGGTTGTCTAGAAACACTCTATCTCCATTTTGAAATCTGAAAACATTTTCATTATTCTGTGAGATAATTTACAGGTTATTTTTGTCACATAGAGCCCAAGACAACTTGATGAACTAGTAGACATATCATGTAAAACAGTCTTCGCATGATAGTGCATTCTGTGTGTCAGAATGAGAGGCTGGTGTTATCTGTCAGCATCACAAAGGAACACCACAGTTTTGACATGCAGAGGTTTTACATCACTTGGAAGCACAATATGGTGGCTGGGTGGCACATTAGAGAAAAGCTGTTATGGGAGCCTTGCTTTTGTAGCATTCCCTAGGCAACACGTAGGTGGTTCTTAGTTATGCCATCTGATGCTTGGTCACTGTTTGCATATCACTAATTTAGGTGTAATCCCAGATTACTTTATTTATTCTGTTAAGAGAAAAAAATTGAAGAGTTGTATATTTGTAGCAGGAGAAGGAAGAGTCAATCTAGCAGACCAAACCATTTAAACTGATTTTTTTTCAGGAATAAAAGAACAATGGAACTAGGTGCCTGAATTATGACACATTATTTGCTTACTTCATGTCATGCATTATGTACTGGAGTCTGAGTAGTAGATCCCATCTGTTTACTTCCCACATAAGTCAATAAAGGGTTGTTCAATAGCTGTTTGTGCAGTGAGGTCATTTCTTTTCATGTGTATATTAGCCCTACCTATATATCTTCACCTCTTACAAATCTCTTACAAGAACAAAAATGATATCTTCAAAGACAAAGGCCGCTGTTTCTCTTTTATTTCTTTATGTCAGTGCTGTATATATCAAACAATCTTAATGAATTTCAAACAGAGAAGGCAGTGGTGTATAAAAGCAAGTTTGCTTAGTCTTGGTGCCTTTTTCATTTTACAAGAGTATGAATTTAACCTTTCTAGCAGATCAGTACTAACATGAGCTACAATCAAGCCATGTTTGCAGGAGCCAACAGTGCTACCTACAAGCCTTCCCTTACCACTTCAAATCTTTAATTTATTTAAGTCGTATTGATAATTCCAGTAACCTTCTTCACATAGACATGTCTGTCTTTTTTCAGAAAACACTACCGAAGGGTGCGTTACTGTGTGGTTGTCATACAGAAGAACTATAGAGCTTTCTACCTAAGGAGGAGATACTTACTCATGAGGAAAGCAGCCATCACTTTCCAGAAACAGCTGCGAGGCCAGATGGCCCGTTGTGTTTACAGGCGGCTACTAGAGGAGAAACAACGGCAAGAAGAGGAGAAGATGAGGAAGGAGGAGGAAGAAAGGTATGAATTGCATTTTTGCTTGCTGATATCTGTTGAGCAATGTGATGTTTGCTCAAGGTAGTGGCAATACACTTTGGAATTGTGTGCATGCGTAATTGAGCACAGTAAGCAAAATTCTATCATGAAAAGTCAATAATTGTAATTTTATACCCACAGAAATTTGCTCATAGTTTTGGGAAACCATATCCTGAAAAACTGAATTCCTACCTTATTGTCTTTTAGTTCTTTTCTAACATTTCTTTATTACTGTTTTTAGAAAGCGACAAGAGGAGGAAGCACAGCGTCTTGCTCAGCAGGTGCACTGTTTTAATTTTTCTTTCCACTTTGTGTATGTGTGTGTGTGTGTGTGTGTGAGTGAGAGAGAGAGAGAGAGAGAGAGAGAGAGAGAGAGAGAATAAATCTCAGGGTGATAACATTTGATCTGTGGAACATACGGTGATACTAAAGTACCACTAATTACAAAAAGCTAGCCAGTGAATTTAATAATGTTGTTTGCATCTGATCTGTTTGTTCTGCACTGTCCTGCTGCTTTTGGAAAATGGGTGCAAGCTTTTAAGGAAGCGTGGGGCAGACAAAAATGGCAACCTTACCCTGATTTCCCTCCTTCCTTCTCCACAAAATGTTCTAGTGTCACTGTCCAGTGATTTGTCACTTCCAAAAGCAGGAGCCAATGACAGAGATGAGGGGACAGGGCCATGTAGATGCGCTCATATTGCGATAAAAATTATGTAAGAAGGGAGGGTTCAACACAAGACTGCTATTTTGAGCAGCTTGCCTGTATAATTATTATACATTAACTCTTGACAACATGTCAACATTTTGCTGTGTGCTGGTCAGCATAGTGATACAACTGTGCCTTATGCAAAGAGAAAAAAGAGTTCTTCATAGTGAATGTTATGTAAGGATTAAGTAGTTGAGCAGGGTCTGGAATAAGGCATCTTGTATGTCATCAATGCAGGCTGAGAAGAAGCGGCAGCAGGAACTGGCAGCTATTCAGGAAGCTCAAAAGGAAGAAGAGCTAAAGCGACAGCTGGAGAAACAGAAAGAGAACAAGCAGGTAGAAGAAATCCTGCGCTTGGAAAAAGAGATTGAAGACTTGCAGCGTATGAAGGAGCAGCAAGAACTGTCACTGACAGAGGCATCCTTGCAGAGGCTGCAACAGCTCAGAGACGAGGAGCTGAAACGGCTGGAGGATGAAGCCTGTCGAGCAGCGCAAGAGTTCTTGGAATCCCTGAACTTTGATGAAATTGACGAATGTGTCCGAAACATTGAAAGGACACTCTCCGTTGGCAGCGGTTTCTGTGCTGAACTTGACGAATTGGCTGGGAACACAGGCAGTGAAAAACCCAATTTTAACTTCAGCCAGCCATACCCTGAGGAAGAGGTAGATGAGGGCTTTGAAGCAGACGATGATGCTTTCAAGGATTCACCTAACCCAAGTGAGCACGGCCATTCTGATCAAAGGACAAGTGGTATTAGGACAAGCGATGAGTCGTCAGAGGAGGATCCATACATGAATGATACAGTAGTGCCAACAAGTCCTGCCACTGGAAACAGTACGCTAATTCCTTCTAGCCATGATTCCCTCAGTCTCCACAACTCTTCAAGTGGTGAATCCACCTATTGCATGCCAGAAAACATTTCATGCAGGCCTCCAACTTCCACAGACCTAATCTCTCCTGATGGGGACTATGATTATGACCAAGATGACTATGAAGATGGTGCTATCACTTCCGGAAGCAGCGTGACTTTTTCTAATTCTCACAGTAGTCAATGGTCACCTGACTACCGTTGCTCTGTGGGAACGTACAACAGTTCTGGAGCGTACCGATTTAGTTCTGAGGGAGCTCAGTCTTCTGTGAGTATTGTTTTCCTTACCGTTATACACATTTTGAGGGGGGGAAATGCTAAAATTTCTTTTCCTTACCGTTATACACATTTTGAGGGAAAAACAATGCTAAAATTTTGTAGTTTGAAAGGAACACTGTGACAATTAATGTAACATAATTATCTTTATCAAGGATGGTTCTTAATTGCCAATCCAGGTATTATAATATCATTTCCACAAAATTCTTTTCCTGTTTCCCAAGGGCAGATTTCTCATCATTTCTCATCCTTCAGTATTCCAAATACAATTTCAGTTAATTATAAGATTCAAATATAAAATTAATATATTTTTTTCTTAATGCTTCTTTTATGGCTGCTATTTAAATGGGCTACTCTGGGGCATCGCACTACAGTTGAAATCAAACTCTTCTCAAATGTTACAGGAGAAAAGCACTGTCGGCCTTAAGTGACACAGAACAGAAACTATGAGGAAATCTATTAGCAAAAGAAAGGAAGTCCTGAAGGGTTCAGGTTCAGTGAAACAAGCATTTCCTAATGCATAATATTTACTATTTAAAAAAACAGATTAGGAGTTTTCTGCTGTAACTTGGCAGGTAATTTCTGCCCATACCTACAAACACATATAGAAAGTACCCCTGTTTCATTTTAGATAACTATCCTTTTGTACCATGAAGGGAAATTTCTCCTGGAAGAGGGAGTGTATTACAATAGCTAATCAGCAATGAGGCTGATAGTGAATTGGCTGTGTATTAAGAAAAAAAAAAGCATGAAATTGATTTTATTTACCATGAATGAAGCAACAGAGGGCTATCAGAATAACATACTCTGGGAAATAAAGGTAAAATAACCTTGATAGCAAAGGAGTGATTATAAATAGAAGCATTGTATGTTACATGTGATTTATACTTTTAAAAATGTTTGTATTCTGGGGTGGGTGGGGGGATGTACGTTTATGAGGCAGTGGCAATGAAATTTTCAGGCATTTTCCCCATCCCATCTTCCTCACTTCCTGGTATTCCTTTGAGCAATGGGCAGCAGTCTTCAAGCTCACATACTTTCTCCTCTACTCCCTTCAGTTTAAAAGAGAGATCAGATAAGCATATGAAACTCTATGAAGGTCCCAGAGGAAGATAGCATGTGAATGTGAAGAAATTGCTCTAGGTTATGCTTTTTTTAAAATGTTAACTTCTCAATATTATGTTCCATTTTGATCTTCCAGTTTGAAGACAGTGAAGAAGACTTTGACTCAAGGTTTGATACAGATGATGAACTTTCTTGTCGCAGAGATTCTGTCTACAGCTGTGTCAGCCTGCCCTATTTTCATAGCTTTTTGTACATGAAAGGTATGGAACAGTCCAGAAGAATTTAAAGGCCCAAAATGAGATTGTTTTCTTCCTCAGACGTCATGTATTGGTGCTCTTCTTCTTTACTGATGATGGAAAACAGTCAGGAATCTGTCAGATATATTTTAGAATGATGACTAGGTCTCATCCCAGTAGTCATGGTGTTGGAAGTTATCTCAGTTTTACCAGTTTTATCTATCTGCATTTTTCATAATATCTATCCTAATTATTAAGAAAAGAAAGCACGTCTGGATACTCCAGGATTGCCTAGAAATTTAAAGAGAAATTAAAAAATAAACATGTCAAAGGAAAGGATTATTTCAGACTTTTGGACAAGATTAAAGATAACACCTTTCAAAAGGTGTTTCTAAATGCCTGAATATGCAATAGATAGAAGAATCACAAGAAGATGCTGGGCATTTAGCAGAAGATGATTAGCAAGTTCCTTTATGAAATAAAGTAGTAATAATCTCCAAGTATACCTGAAAGACAGTTGTCAGGTTTTGTAGAAGCATTCACCACAACGCAGAGCTTTGAACATGTTTTTAAACAAGGCCACTTTTTAAAATCTATTTTTTTCCTTCCCACATCCTGACAGGGGGCTTGATAAATACCTGGAAGCGGCGTTGGTGTGTCTTGAAAGATGAAACCTTCTTATGGTTCCGTTCAAAGCAGGAAGCACTCAAGCAAGGCTGGCTGCATAAAAAAGGTGGTGGGTCATCTACGTTGTCCAGAAGAAACTGGAAGAAACGCTGGTTTGTCCTCAGGCAATCCAGGCTGATGTACTTTGAAAATGATAGTGAAGAAAAACTCAAAGGGACACTTGAAATCCGAACAGCCAAGTAAGTGAAATAGATATAAGGTATGCTTGTGCATATACCAGCCACCTTCAGCATCCTTAGGAATAAAATCCCTTAAGCTGCCAATCAACATCCTTCCTCAAGTGTCCAAACCAAGGATGAATGAATCTCTTAGGCTTAGTTTTGCTCAAGGTATTGTTCCTTCCGATGCTAACTTTTTTCTGTCCTATACCTGCAATAAGGCAATTTTTAAAAAAAATTCCGCATGAAAATGTTTACATTTTTATGAATATTTTTTCAAAAATCTGTATATTTTGTATACATTTTTCAACTTACCCATGTTTGTATTCATTATGCATCTTCACAAATTTCAGATCCAAACTAAGGCTGTGACTACATTGCCAAATAATATGGGAAATGCTCCAGGATTGAGAGGGTCGGATTTGTTCTGTTGACTAGACAATGAAAAATCAATGCACATGAGCCCAGAGTTCTTCCCCCCATCCTTAGATTTTTCCTCTGCCACTGGGGCTTCTATGTTTGGAACTGAATGCATCCATGTTGGTTCAAGTGATGTGATCATTGAACCGATACAGGTTCATGACTGAATGGCTTTTCCAGCTTCCTAGTTTAAGATGGGGAGAGAGGAGGTGAAGGGGCACTTGCTGGGGTGTCAGTTCCCTTCAACGCTGCACTTCTTGTCTCCAAACGGATTGTTCTGAAGGCTTGGTGCCAGCACTGGTGCATCAGGACACACAGGAGACCAGAAAGAGAGAAATGAGGAAATCAGCAGAGATGAGAAAACCTTGTTTGCAGCTTGTTAGGGTAACTATACTGCTGTTGTGCCTCCTGCAAATCTGGATAGCTATAGTAGAGCTGCTTTAACGAGGTGTAAAAAGTGCTGATTGGCAATGTACTCCTTCCTTTTTGCTGACTTTTGTGTGATGGGCTGAAACACGTTCATTCAGGGGAAACTCAACTTCTTAGGAGTAAATTCATAGTGGATCACGTCACATTTTTCCTGCTGTATAGTCACACCGTAAGTAAGTTGAACTTGGTTCCTGATTATCTCAGCTGCACAGAGGTCATGACTAATTTGTCTCATTAATTCTAGTCATATCTAAAGTCAACTGACCTAGTCTGGATCCAGCTCTTGAGTTTTTGGAATGAAACTTACATCTCTCCAGGTCACTGTGAGCTCCATGACCATTTTAAATCATCTGCTTCAAACCACACACGTAAATTGGGTCACAGTAGATGCAATTCCAATAGCTGAACAAAATTAAGATAAAAATGAAGCAGGTCAATAAGAAGTCTTCATAGACATAACTAATGGGCACATTCCTGCATGGGAGCAAAGTAGAAAGGAAATTGTTTCTGGGCATTTAAATTAGACTCCAGAGGTTCAATATTACAAATGATTGCTTTTAAATCCCCAGGATCTTGTCAATATGAATGCATTGTATTTCTGTCTTCCCTTTCCATTTCAGAGATATCATTGATAACACTAGCAAGGAAAACGGGATTGACATTGTCATGGCTGATAGGACCTATCATTTGATTGCTGAGTCACCAGAGGATGCAAGGTAGGAACTTTAGTTTCTCTAGCTTAATTTTAATTTTTTGCACATATCAACTCCAGTACTAGCAGTAACGTTATTTTAGCATTCTTCACCAAACAAAGCAGGGAGTGAGGTTTTAGATGTAGCCTAGCTGGCCATCAGTGAAGGCTCTCAAAAACATGGCCATCAGTGAAATGTCTTGTAAAGAGCAAGAATAATGTAATGTTCAATTTCCTTGATGAGCATCAGATTAAACAGTTTCGTTCATTCTCATATTTTATTTGCACATCAGAATCAAGCATTTTTATAGCACATGAGTACCGGGCTGTTGTAATTCACATTAAAAAGAACACTCAATAACTGAACAATATATCAAGTAGAACAAAGTTTAAGTGCTTCCCATATGTGCTGATTTAACATCAGCTTAAATTTTTCAGGATCTAACACTAAGGGTGTGCTAATATCATTTATGGTCAAAGAGGAAGCTAAACTATTCTGAAGTAAACTGAACTTTTCAACCTTTGGACTTTTTTCCTCTCTCCAAATTTTTATTCACACTGTTGAACATTTCTTTTCATTGATTAGAAGTGGATCAGTGACCACCTTTGAGATTTAAAAAAATTATATTTCCAGTTGATTAGAAATAAAATACCAAGTGATCATACCCCAAAATAGATCTGTTGAAGTGTCAACTAAGTTTACTATAGTTTAAGGTGACTTTTGCCCTTTGTCACATATTTTAATCTTTTTTTCCAAAACATAAAGATAATTGTGTGCATTTGTTGTGTACACAATACCTATGCTCCAGGTTTACCTCTTACCATTTTCTTTACAGTATTTATCTTTCCATGAAACACTGTCCTCCTGACAGACCTCGGTTATAATGGGAGCTTTTTATCTTCCAGATGTACCAAAATAAAAACATCTTATGCTGTAAACCAGATACTTGAACTGTTTGGGCTGTCCAGTTCATTCTGAATCTACTCTTGCCTGTTTTTACAACTCAGAAAGATTCTGAGAATTGAAGGAACTCACTTACAGAGAATCATGTTTATTGTCCCCTTTACTTCTAATTGCCTTTGTTGTTATTTTTTATCAGTAAGAACAGTGGTCTGCATTTAATTTTCACTGTAGGTTCCTTAATACCAGTTTTGATCATGGCCAAAACCATCCTGCTGGATTGGATTGAGATGGGATGACTGACTATTGCTGAGAATTTCTTAAAATTGACCTGTTTTAGGTTGAGGGTTGTTTGTTTACTTTTGTTTTTAAGAAAAGAAGTATCATTATAACTAAATCAGCAAACTAAGAGCAGGATAGTTTGTGGTAATCTAAAAGCAACCATTTCCAAAACCCAGTTCACAGGAATGTAGAGTTCATCGCAGCTTGAGTACACCAGTGAGTAAGTCCTGTTGAGTCAACAGCTCTGCTCTGGTTGGGGTTAGCCATTGTCATGGTAGCTGGCAAGGGACGAGCAACTGGTACGCTGCCTAGGGGGTCCAAATGCAGATCCCTGGCATGCTGTTTTCATGGAAAACCAGGAAGGGAAGTCTTAGCAGGGGGGCTTGGCATGATAAGTCTCAAACATTTGCTGGGAATGAGAAATTTTGCAAGTACTCTGTCACATCCCTAAACAGTAGCGTTTTGTTCAGCTCCTGAGGCTGGAAAATATGCCAAAATAGTTAGTCATTATCTTTTTTCACCTTTGCCCAAGGATTAACATAAAGCAGTCTAAACAGAAATGCCAGTTGGAAGTTAATATTTAGCTGGTTCAGATTGGGGTATAGCTGTTCTCTGTGCAGTGAATCAGGAGCCACTTTCATGGCTTTACATGTTGGACAGAGCCCGTCTCTTCTGATCATTAGAAATCCATCACACTTTAAAGATTAAGTGCATTTGGTGAAGAGAAACATCGGGAGTGACCTTGGGCAAATCACTTTCTCTGTCACCCTAATGAAACACTCAGGTAGAGCCTGGAAAGTTACTGTTAAGAAGAATGAATACAATAGCACGCTGAAGCGACCTATAACTGAATGATGCCCTGGGAGCTCAAGCTCTACACCCAGGGTTGTTGCAGGGGAAAGATGATCTCTGTGTAAGCAGCTCAAGCTTACCTTTCACTGAAGGATGAAAGCCCTACTCTTTACATTTCAAATCACCATGGACAGAGAGGAGCACGCTGGCCCCCTCTGTTTCCATAGTCATTATTCTCCTACATGTGGAGAGCAACAAATCAGGAGAGAGCTGTGGAGGGGAAGACAGTCACCGTCCTTCAATGTTGATTATGAATTATTTCTTATCCCTCAGCAAATTATTGAGTCCTTGTAGTTAATTTTCACCTTAGTACATGCATAGAGATTAAAAAAGAAATTCTGGACGTTTTACTTGATGAACCAGGTTTTTCAGATGCCATAGATGAGTATTAATTTTGTAAAGATAGCTACACAACAGTCAGACTCCCGTAGTGTTTGCATAGATTTGTGTACCTTGCCACAGCAAACTACACTAATTGGCAAGATGCCACCATACGTCTCAGTCATGTACCCAGTGGTGAAATCAAGATACAATCTAGCAGCTCGTCACTTAGCTGCAATAAGCTTCAGCAAGTTATGCAAAATTTATGCAGACACCAATAGAATATTCTGGACAATGGCATTCAACTGTGGAAAATGAACAAAATAGAACAGAAATTGGAAAGTACTTGATAGAAAAAAGGGGATTTTCCCCACATCATGATAGTTTATGAGGGCAATTACATTTTAAATGTTAGTGGCTAGTTAAATAATTGTCAGTTTTCAGCATCGTATAATGGGTGAAGACCGGTTGGCTTGTCTGTTATGTTTTGTTGGAAATGGTGTTCCTTTTGACAGGTGCTGACAAATGTTATAAATTCTTCCTTGTGCCTCCTTCCATGATTTTTCCTGTTGTGGAAATAGGGACAGATTTGTTTCTCTAGGAATTTTTCTGACTTAGCTTTCCACGTCATCTCTGGTCATTTTCTTGCTTTATCTTGTTTGTTACATTGCTTTATTACATTTATTGTATTTTGTAAATCATTTTGGGATTGTTCTTAAATGAACAGCACTGCCTCCATTTTAATTAATTAATCACTGCCTCCATTTTAATAAATAAATAAATAAATAAATAAATAAATAAATAAATAAATAAATAAATAAATAAATAAATAAATAGACTTATATTTTGCCAATATGTAGAAGAGTAATTGAATACTAAGAATGAATACAAAAAATTAGGGAATAATCAGAGTTTGTTGAACTGATAGCAAGAAAAAGCTGGCATCATTGTGGGAAACTATAAAGATGCGGATACAGAAATGTTCTCTGTGTTTCTGAATCGTACATAAAATGCTGCTGTATGTTTTTGTTTTTTTGCTGCATATGATTGTTGCCCTAATAAAAAAAAGCAAACATATTGAAGATAGGTTCAAAGCGAGAGGAACTTAATACAGAGAATATGTTATTGTCGAAATCAGTGTTATGTCATTTCTGGTTTCTCTGTGGGAAACTTCAGGATATCAGTGGAAAGAAGGGTTTTGAATGGCAATGAAACGACCTCACCTTGTCATAATGGTAAGTCATTGTAGTGGCCAGGGATTTTGTTTACTCTGGAGTAAATGAAATTGTGGGAGTCTCAAAAGTAAATTGCAGGCAATTAATATGTATGGCCACAAGCCTGGCACACAACCAAGCACACAATTGACATTTTATTAATTAGCTGTGCCTTTTACACAATTTTCCTTACTTCAGAGTGGAATTCCATTAAGATTCTGGCCGGGGTCACAGTGGCATAAAACAGAAGAGTGGTTATTTAAATTCTAATATGCCTTATTAATTAACTAGCTTAAAAGACATCCTTTATCTCAAGATAATAAGAAAGACATGCCATAGTATAAGATCTTTTTATGCTAATCCTTCTCTCTTTCTGCAGTCAGTGGTTCAGCGTCTTGAGTCAAGTTCATGCTTCTACAGAACAGGAAATCAGAGAGATGCATGATGAGCAGGCAAACCCACAGAATGCTGTGGTAAGGAAGGATTTAAAGGCACATCACCTCAGAAGTTTGTTTTTGTAGGATCAGAAGGTCTTGGATGTCATTTATATAGTACCAGTATTACTGTAGTAACATGTTGAGTAGATCCCACTGGCCAGGCTTTCCAGAGCAGAGATAATCTAGCTGTGAGGTGGGTTGAACTAGTTAATGTTCTGCCTTTACATGCAGTAAACTTTCTGTACAAGACAAATGTTGACCATTTTGCAAAATGCAGTAATACAGTATACTGCAACGTGGGTGAATTTAATCCTCTAGCCACCATTGCAATGACTGCATGGAATGCAGGGGTTCTCTCTATATATGCAAATGAATGAGATGGATGGACTGCAAGTTCTTGTTGCAGAAGTCTACAGAAGCAGTCTGAAACACAGACAGATTCCTAAGGAGATCAGTCGGGGGAGGGGGAGCCATTTGCACAGCATACCAAATAACATAACCATTGGTGGGCTCAGAAGGTTCTTCTGTCTAGATCTGCCATCTAATTGGTGTAGAGCAGTGGTTCCCAACCTTGAGTAAGCCAGGTATTCTTGGACTGCAATTCCCAGAAGCCTTGGCCACCAGCTTTGCTGGCCAGGGTTCTAGAAGTTGCAGTCGAAGAAAACCTGGCTTCCCAAGGTTGGGAACCCACTGGTATAGGGGATAAAGCCAACATCATGATACAGCAATACGTTCTAGTACAATAGAACTTTCTATCCCTCCCCTCCTCCTTACAGCTCTCTCCACTACCTAAGCAAAGCTCCAGTGTTTTGCACCCCTCTGAACCAGGTTTCTGAGGTGTATGGGAGAGAATACAATGGGGGGGGGAGTTCACCTTCCCCAGTTCCACTGACAGAAATAGTTCATTAGCATATACGCCACATTAGAAGCTGGTAAACATTTTCCCCCTACATAAGAAGTTTGCAATAGAGAACTTGTGCCTTACCAAAGGAAGTTATGAAGTGATTGTATTCTATCTGCACATGCTTTTCCTTGTCAAAAGTGACTGGCTATTCATATCAGTTCCTCCCTGTAAGGCTGGAATAACAATTTGGTTAACATTTTGATGCAAACTCAGAAAATTTGCACTCCCTAGACTGGGACACAAACTGGAGTGCAGTTTCCATTGGAAATCCACCATTCCCCCAAACACCATTCCCCCAAAGTGCAGTCTTGAACAAAATGGGCAAAAGTGTATATATTCAGGAAAAACCTCCACAAAGTGCATATTCACAAATCAAGCTGGAAACAGGACAGAATGAAATCTGATAGAAACGACAGAGAAGTGCAAGTGAACTTGCCTCTCATGAAGCTCATATTTTGAAACTGAATCCATTAACTTTTCTTCTCTAAATCATTTTTAATAAGCATTTGTTTCTAATGTTTGCGCCCCCTTGGGTTCCATAAGCCAAAAAATATTCCTTATTTTTGTTCCTTGTTTCCCATAGGGCACACTGGATGTGGGGCTGATTGATTCTGTCTGTGCATCTGACAGTCCAGATCGGTAAAGTTCTGAAATACTTAATTTTGGTTAAATATTTGGTTTTGAAACTGACTGAAATCCTGTTGCTGAAGTGTAGCAAGTTGCACTAGAATAGACCTATTAAATCAGTAGAGATTTGGTGAGTCAACTCCTCCATAAATCCCACAGATTCAAATGGACCTACTCTATTGTGACTTCCTTTAGTGTAATCTCACAGCTAGAGTGGGCCCACTTAACTAAATGGACCTTATGGGGGAGTTGACTGACTAAAGCCCCACTGATTCATTGGAGTGACTGTAGTGCAACGTAGTATGCTAAGCAAAAGTATTTTAGCCACTGTATGTTTCAGCAATGTGCTTTTCTTTCTGATCCTCTTTCTGATCCGAAAGTGATGAAGAAAAGGAAACAAGAACTGTTAATAATTCTATTCCTGTCCTTGCCCCTCATGGATAGAACATCCCTGTTGCATGTTCAGAACATACATCTTTCAGTTTTGATCATTCCCCGGATGTCTGAACCAGTATTGGTTCAACCTCCTTCTCAGTGAGAGACACAAGCAAGTAGAAAGGAACAGAAGCCTGTTTGCAGCTCTGGTACTACTTACTTTACATTTCTGAAGAAATAAAAACTCTGCTAGATAGCTCAGTGGCTTAGGTATCTGGCTGTGGAGCCAGAGGTTGGGAGTTCAATTCCCCACTGTGCCTCCTTGGCAGGGGCTGGACTTCATAATCCATAGGGTCCCTTTCAGCTCTGCGATTATAAGATTGTTGTTGTTGTTGACTCATATATAATTTGATTTCCCAAAAATGGGGGGGGGGGAATCATTTAGAAGCCTGATATTATTCTAAGGTGTACTCTCAAAAGTTAGGAATTTAGCCTGTAGATCCGTCTCCCTTCCCCCAACCCCCTTTAGCTCAAAATGTTGTCAGGGGAGGGGGAATTGATATAGCCTTCTTCTGTCTTGTGCAGCTGGCCACACTGACAGGGGTCGATGCGGTGGGATCCTAAGAGTTTTAGTTCCAGGTTCTAGTTGGGAATCCTTCTCCACTGGCCTTTATAATGGCTCTGGCATATTTCTTATGTGCATAAAAACATTGACAGGGACAAGCTCTTCGTTAAACGTTTATGGAACTTAACCTTTAAGTGGCTAAGTTCTTGAATGTCAAGATTTTAAAAACAAACCAGTTAAGGAAAAATGGTAAAGGAAGTGATTCATCATTTGTCTAAATATACAGTACAAACAAGGGGGAAGTAGTTAAAAATGACAGACTCACTTTGTTATGGTCCCAAATAGTGTCCATGTTTACTATACAGGCATTTTCCTTTCTTTATATTTCCTGCACAGACCCAATTCATTTGTGATTATCACTGCTAACCGTGTTCTTCACTGCAACGCGGACACTCCAGAGGAGATGCATCACTGGATCACCCTTCTGCAGAGATCAAAAGGGGATACTCGAGTAGAGGGGCAGGAGTTCATCGTAAGGGGTAAGAACACCTTGCAGAAGAAGTCTCCTAGGAAGGTGGGGAAATTCCTGAGTAAATTCTGGTGTTGATACTTACTTGCAAAAACTGTTGCATTGATCAACCAAACCCTCACAACCCTTGGCTTAAAACTGCAATGACTGGTAGCATTTCAGTTTGTAGGGAGGTTTCCTGTAGTTGATAAAGTTAGATCTATTAGTATTGTAAGTATTCTGGCGAAGTTTTATACCAATCTACTTACAGTATCATCAAAGCTTGTGACACCAGATTAACTGGCAGGAAGTCACTCTGAAAAAGACCTGTATATTCTGAATTAGATCATTCTGCCATGTTAAACTGAGAGCCCGTGTTTTAGTGGGAATGAGCATTATGCTAGGGGCCAGTGAGGTGTGATGGATGGTGTTGGACTAGGACTCAGGAGACCTAATTTCAGATTCCACTTAGCCATGCCAACTCTCTAGGGAGTGACAGTGGTACACTGCTACTTAAACATCTTGCATAGCTCAGAAACCTTATTTGGTTGCCATAAGTTGGAAGCAATATAATGGCGTGTAACAACAACATACAGAGAGTGGACTGGACTCTAAAAGGATTAGTTTGCCTGAATTTGTCAAGGGTGCTATTTGTCCTCGTTTCCTTTCCTCAGTGCACAAGAATCTGGAAGTTGCAGCTGTTTTTTGCTCTTCTGATAAAAGTTAAATCCTACTGCCAGCTTTCCTTGTGTTCCCCCCATCCTCAGAATGCACATTAACAACAACCAACTGCAGAGAGATAAACCGCAGGTGGAGGAATACATGTACATGTACATACTTGCACACCATTTAAAAAAATCACTCTCTTTCCATAAAACTGGGATAGATTAGGATTTAAGCCAATGGATCTGCCCATGCTTCATCTGATTGTTAACATCTTACCGAGTGAATGCGTAAGATGTTAAAGAGCCAACATATTTATCTCATGTTTGTTATGTGACAGAGATACTTGAGTCTGAAATAAAACCAACCTTTTGAAAGCTAAGTGAATGGTGTTTGAGAGTTAGGTAGAGTTATAAATATCAGCTTGTTGGATGTACAATTGAGGAAAGTCACATCAGCAGAAGTTGATAGCAGTTTGGTCAGTTCCAGGAGGGTTTCAATTCAGGAAATGTCATTTCTTCTCCTGACTAGGATGGCTGCACAAGGAGGTTAAGAACACTCCCAAGATGACTTTGTTAAAACTGAAGAAGCGCTGGTTTGTCCTGACACACAATTCCTTGGATTATTACAAGAGCTCAGAAAAGAATGCCCTCAAATTGGGCACCCTGGTGCTAAACAGCCTGTGCTCTGTCGTACCCCCTGATGAGAAAATCTTCAAAGAGACAGGTAACTGACTTACCATAATCTATTTTTTTCTCTTGATCCAATTGACATGACCTTCAGTAATATCCTTATGGATCTTCAACTTATTTTGGAATTTGGAAACGTGTCTAATGTTGTAAATTCACCTCAAAGGCATCTCCGAAAAGGAAATGACAGGATGTAAATTCCTATAAAACTGTTTGTTTACAATTTCCATGCTGTTTTCTAGCCAGTTATGTTTCATAAGTAAGACAGGATCTATAGGACTGCTCTAAGAAGACAGTAATAATCCGTGTATATCAAATGTTGTGACAGGTCTGCAGTTCATAACAGATCTGATTTATTAGTTGCACCCCTTTGGTTAATTCAGAATTGTTGATAGGACGTGGGATAGCTCTGCTTCAGGGAGTGCCTGTTGGCAGCTGGTCTAAACTAAAGGGACATGACATAGTATTCTCTTATTTACTGTCACCTTAGGTTACTGGAATGTAACTGTGTATGGACGCAAGCACTGTTACCGCCTCTATACCAAGCTGCTCAATGAAGCTACCCGCTGGTCAAGTGCCATCCAGAATGTAATAGACACAAAAGCACCCATTGACACCCCCACCCAGCAGCTTATTCAAGACATAAAGGTAGGGTGATCATCTTGGAAAAAATCATATAGAGAACAGAATCCATCCTATTTTTTTTTCTGCAGCAAAGGAAGGGAGTAAACCCTGCCTTGGGAAAGAGCAGAATAGGAACGAAATGGAATAATTAAAAAAGTAGAATGTTGTAAAGTGCTCAGAAATGGAGGTGGTGACCCATTATCCTCTGCCCTCGGCATGTTAGTCTTGCTGGTGTTACCAGAGAAGTTCAGTTGCTTCTACCCCCAGCTATCCCCACAATTCTTTTTTTCAAATGCAGTGCATACTTTCTTTAGCATTAAAGTGAGAGGAGAGTCTGGTTACCTTTTTTTACTTAAAGGTCAGAAACAGTTTTCCCATCTCTGAACACATCTTCACCACTGGAGAGCCTGCTTATTGGAATACTTTGTTCCAGGTTTCTCTGTTTTCAGTGGAAAGTTTTTGGGAGCATGGAACAAAGCCTTTTCAGTGATGGTGACAATACTTTTGCTTTTCAAGCCAATTGTTGATGCTTTATCTCATTTTGGATGGTTGTATCTATTCGTCCTATTGTTGCAAACGTTTCAGATTCTATTCATTCATTTATTCATTCATTCATTCATTCTATTTATTCTCTTTGTTTCATTATTTTGATACTATTGTAGCTTCATTCTATATGTTTTATCTGTATTATAAGCTACCTTTGTAATCTTCAGAACAAATAAGTGTGAATGTTCTCAAGCAGAATTTAATTGTGAGATAGTTCTCCGTTCCTGTTTGAGAAATATTTTGGTTTAGTGCCTGACCCTTCAGAGGTATTCAATAGTGGGTTATTACTCATCTATCAACTGTAAATAACCCTGCTTTCTTCTATATTTACCCAGGAGAACTGCCTGAACCCTGAAGTTGTTGAACAGATCTACAAAAGAAACCCTATTCTTCGTTACACACAACATCCACTTCATTCTCCACTATTGCCACTTCCATATGGAGACATTAACCTGAATGGTAAATCTAGAGCCCCACTCTCCTAATCCTGCGAAAACATCTACCTGTAAGGACTTTCAGTATGCCTGTTGTCACAAAGATAAGAGGACTCTCCTTCCGTCATCTTCCTAAAATCTCATTTGCAGTCTTTACATTAGTGTGCTGCTGTACTTGAACAGCAGAAGTTGATGGCTGAGCTCAGCTCAGAATAGCACCAGTTTGTGCTCCAGGATTCTGTCTCTTTCCCCACACAAACTCTCCACTCCCTATTCCAGTGCTCTGGGCAGGAGGAGCAATTATACACGTTGGTTTCCAAGTGCTTGGGAAATAATGCCACAAAGAAATTATTGGGTAACACCCAGGAAGGCTGAGGTAGCAAGAAGCATAGCACCCAAGTTAGGAGTTGGAAAGAACGGTCTTTGACATACTAATCCATTTCAAGGAAGATGTGGGAACTTGGCGGTGGGGGACAAGGGGGAAAATGAAGACAGTTATGCAGTGTGGTTATTGGTACAATTAAATTTAAAACACACACACACACACATCTAATTATTACATTTTGAATTCTGACTTGTCCAGACATACTTGGTGAAATCCTGTTGCTCAGCATAGTAAGTCACACTAAAGTAGGCCCATTGAATCTTTCAGGATCTGATAAATCAGCTCTTTTGTAAGTTCCAAATGAGCTTGCTCTAGTTGCAACTTAATTTAGTTGGCTCACCAGATCTCCATTGATTGAATGGGCCTACTCTAGTGTGACTTCACTAAGCAACAGGACCTCAGCCTGTTGATTCAGACACAGTATTAGTTTGACAGCTGGATAATTTGAGATACTTCTATGTTTCTATCTGCAGTGCTAAAAGACAAAGGCTACACGACTCTCCAGGATGAAGCAATCAAAATATTCAATTCTCTGCAGCAGTTGGAGTCCGTGTCTGATCCCATTCCTATAATTCAGGGTATCCTTCAGACAGGACATGATTTACGGCCTCTGCGGGATGAGTTGTACTGTCAGCTCATCAAACAAACCAGCAAAGTGCCTAATCCAGGGAGTGTTGGCAATTTGTATAGTTGGCAGATCCTTACATGCATGAGCTGCATGTTTCTGCCAAGCCGTGGCATTCTCAAGTACCTGAAGTTCCACTTGAAAAGGTAAGCAGAATGTCTGAAATACAGTAGAATACCTTTGTTTATTCCCCCCCCTCCGTGCACATTTTCAATAAGGAAGAGACATTACTTTATCTTTTAGCAATACAACTTCAATTTCCCAAAATATTCTTTTTGCCATGCTATCTCATCTTTGCATGTAACAGGAAATAAACAGGAGTGCCATAATTGGCCCCATGGAGGGAGACCAAAGATGGGGAATGTGTGGCCTCATTCCACTGTGCCCTTTTCCAAAAGCTACTCTTTGAGTTTGGGGTGACAACTTTAGTAAATGGGTTCTAGCAGCTATTCTCAACAGGGGCCATATGACAAACACACCCCGGGGGGCCTTGGCACATTTGAAGGGAGCCACAGACTGGAAACAGTTCTACACACACCACCTTATAAAGTTTGTTATGCGACTTATAAAATCCTGATTCAGCCTATATTTTTTTCTAACTTTTTAAAATTTTATTTCTATGACGCATACATACAAACAGCAAACAAAGACATCTAAGACAATCAAAAACATATAAAACCAACAAAACATATACGCGGGGAGGTATTTCCCATTCAAACTTATCCATTATATAATTCTGACTAGAACAGCTCTTATGCCCTACTCCCATACTGAATCATACTATATCATAATAATTTTTATAAATTCTTTTACCTGCATCCCCCTCTATTCAATTATCATCATAAGCATTTCTGATTTCATCTTTCTTATCCACCAATAAGAACCAAACATGGCCAATACAATCATCAAAATAACCATTTCTAAAAACATAAAGATATCATATTAATCTTATCTACATAGTCACTATTATAATTCACACATATTTAATATCTCTGTGTAGTTGCCTTATAAACAATAGCATCTAATAATAATCATTAACATTTCTAAATTGATAATTAAATGTATTTGACTACCATTACTATCTAAGCATGGCCAGAATTGCTTATAGGTATGTTACCCATATTACTTTATCTATAAACATATATTTCTCAAACCAATAATTTCTATTGTTATATTCAGCAAGTAACTTTCTTCCTTTTTATTTGTGCTTTCAAGCTCCAGTACTATAGATCCAAAATTAGCCTCTTGCCTCCTTTTTGCCAGTTTTAAAATGCCATCTATAAGATCTCTTTAAGGCATTTTCTCTGTGGTTTACTAATTCCATCCCATTATAATCAGTGCCCTGTCTTTGGAGTATAGTGTATCTATCCAACCTCTGATCATAAATTTCTGTCCCAGGTTCATCCATTTCGCCCCCTTTACCTTCTTTCCCATGAAGACAATCTCAATATGTTTTTCTCCCTCATTCCTCCACCCCTCCCTTTCCTCCTTTTTGAGCATTTGCTTTCTAAAAAGAACAGTAACTTTCTCTCTCTCTCTGACAATAGGAGTTCTTCAGTCATTTCAACGGGTTCAGTTGGTTTTTCTTCCATCTCCTCCTTCACGAACAATCCACGAAGTGTCGCCTTGATTTCTGCCTTGGCTTCTGAAATCTGGGCCTTGATTTGATTTATAATGTTCAATTGGAATTCCTGAAAACAACTCTTAAAATCAACGTCCATTATGGATTTCAATGATGAGTCTCATACTCTATCTCCAGTCCGTAAACTATAAAAGTCAAACAGGCTAATTGCTCAAATTTCCCTCAAGATTTATTAGCCAGCCCGAACTCAGAGTCCTGCAGAGAGCATTCTAATTGTAAATCCAGCCATAATAAAAATGTTATTTTATTTGTAATCCACCTTTGCAACTTGATGCAGAGTCACATATGGTAAATTGTTCAGAGTTATTTAAAGTTCTCAAGCCTGTAGTTTATGAAAAGCCAGTTCTCGGGGAGGAGGGGTTGAGGGAGAAAAGACAAAGTTAGTTTCACTTCTCTCAGCAGTTATGCAGTTAAAAAAAAAAAAAAAACACCAGCGTTACAGGGATTACCAAAGTTCCATGCTGCTTTGAGATTGTCTTCCTTGATCAGCCTCCAAAAAAAAAAAAAAAATCTGATCTATTACTTGCCGTCGCTTAGTGCAGTTCATTAATCTCTGTTCATGCAGTCAGATCATAAGTCTTCATACCTCCCCCTTCGCCGGGCAGCTACTCACTATTAAGATGGCGACCTTCACGAGATAGTTGCATGCAGGAAGGGAAATTCTTCCAAAAGACAAACCGCCATCTGAAATTCGGCGTTTCCAAGCTCCACTTGCTGCAAGTCCACTCTCATGTGGAAAACTTTCCCCCCATCTCCTGGGGGGTCTGCTGTCTCGGAGTAAACCCAGGGGTTCCCAGAACCCTGAAATCCCCCTGTTCTCACTACCCGTTGCTCCGCCTCTCATCCATCCTATATTTCATGTTGTGTTTATGGCTGAGACCGAAGCAAGGTTGAGAATGGCTGCTCTAGAGAGAAAGGTGGAAGCAAAGTGGTTGGAAAAGAGGAGGGGAGGAGAACAGGAAGTCAGGCCCCCCTTTTTCCTCAACACTCTTGACACTCTACTCTGTAACTTCTTGGACAAATCAGTTTTATTTCTGAATGAAAAAAGGACTGAAACCTAATTGTAAGTGATTAGCCCAAAGTTTTCATTAAAATTAATGGACAAAAACAGTTTTATATGTGAACCTTTGCTTAGAATATTTTTAATGGACATGAACATTGTCTTCTGAAGGCTAAATTAAGGGCTGCATCACCTATGTTAAAATGCTCTCATTGTGGCCTTTTCAGTGTCTCTCAGAACTTGACACAACTAGAAGAAATTGAATTCAGAGTTTGTTCCCACAGGGTACATGACCAGTTTCCAGGCACAGAAATGGAAAAGTATGCCCTTTTCATTTATGAATCATTGAAAAAGACCAAAAGCAGAGAGTTTGTGCCATCACGGGATGAAATTGAAGCCTTGATCAAGAGACAGGAGATGACATCTACAGTCTACTGCCATGGTGGTGGCTCCTGTAAGATCACCATTAACTCCCACACAACAGCAGGCGAGGTGAGATGAGGATACAATGGGGCAGGGCTTTATGATGCATGGGGAACGTGCTTCCATAACCAGCTTTGCAAGATGCATTTGTGCTTCAGCTGTAGGAAAATTTGCAGAACATGTGGCAATGTACTATTTCAAAAGAGGTGATATTTGGCAAGTAAAGCCCAAAAGCCCAGTCAATTCCCCACATTCCCTGTGAAGTAGAAATGTACATTTTCAGGCACAGCAATGCATGTGTTTTCCAATGTGTCCCTTTGATAACAGAGTCTATGTGCCAGGCTTGGGTTGATGTTGGTTAGCGTGACTCGACATCCTAACTTTTTGTCCAGATAGTTAGACAGTGGCCTTCCAATCTGTGAATTTTTAACAGCTGTACACTTTTTGTCATTTTTTCCCCAAACAAAAGCATTTAGTGTTGCCAAATGTTCCAGTAGTGCCACAAAAGAAAGACAAAAAGCTTGAATCTGAAGAGTCACAGTGGAGAAAAATATAATTACGTATCTGGGACAGTGATTTGCTTTGGAACACTGGCTAGTTTGTACTTGTGCTTTTATTGATTCTATTACATGCTGTTTCATGATAGCAGAGTTCTACTAAGTGGATGATGATGATGATTGCTATCATTATTTTCTACTATTATTTTTTCCTTCTGTACCCATGGTCCCATTATTAGTAACTTACATGCAGTTATACAACATTCTTGAGAACAAAAGTAGATTTTCAATTATTTGTGCTACAGATGGCAGTTGTACGTGTGCCCAATTCTTACCTTGCCTCCATTGTCTGTTAATTGATGTTGCTACTCTGTAAAGTCCAACTATTCTTGTGTTGTCTCATTTTCTTTTTATCTACTAGGTTGTTGAAAAGTTAATTCGAGGGCTGGCCATGGAAGATAGCAGAAATATGTTTGCCCTGTTTGAGTACAATGGCACTACAGAAAAAGCCATTGAAAGCAGAACGGTTGTGGCTGATGTCTTGGCAAAGTTTGAAAAGTGAGTGTGCCTCTCCTAATGAGTAAGCAATTAAAATAGCTAACAGCAGGTTTTCTGAATTTCTCTTTCTTGAATCAATGGCGTTTCCCCTCCTCCCCTTTAAAAAAAGGATTAATGAGGTGTTTTGCAGCGTGAGGGCAATTTCATCACTCTTCATTGTGAGACTGGTGTTCTGTTCCCCTGAAATTTCCTCTCATGCCTTTCCATCAATAACCCTGCCTGTTTGGACCTTCTCCACTTTAAGCCTTTCTTTTAAGATTTTCCACATCTACTGTAAATGTACCAATCACGGGTTCAAACTTGTAATTAGAGTTTAGGAAAACCCAGCTTTCCAGTAGCTTCTAGGAGATCCCCAGTGCTGGCCTGTTGAAACCAGAATCCAGCTGGCTACAGTGTCTCTAGCAAAATCTATTAAAGCCTCCAGAGAATTTTCTCTGTCATATTCTCCACCTGCTGGGATGGTCCATTCATCTTGGAATCTACATTTTACATTTCAGTCCCTTCTAAGTATATTACATTTCTTGTAATCTTTTTTAATATCCTAAGCTAGTGATTCCCTAACTTGGGACCCCCAAATATTATTGGACATATCCTCCTAGAAGCCCTCATTAGCATAGGAAATGGTCAGGGATTGTGGGTGTTAATAGTCCAGCAACGACTGAAGACCAAGCTTGCGAATAACTGTTCTGAAGCAAGTGCAACCCATTTATTTGCTCACTGGGTTTCTCTCTGAACCTACATTTGCAGTGCTGGCATCATCGTTCCTTCGATGGGAACCCTAGTAGCTAGAAAATTTTATGTTTTTTCTTTCAACAGCAAACAACTCAAAAAGGCAGTTTCCTGTCAACCTGATTACAGTGGGCCCTCGACTTATGAACTTAATCCATTCTGGGAGGACGTTCGTACCTCGGAAAGTTCGTAAGTCGACATATCATTTCCCATTGAAATGCATGGGAACGGAATTAATCCGTTCCAGCATTTCAAAAAATAAAAATAAAAATACAAAAATAAAAATAAAAAGAGCAAGTCCCACGTTGGGACTGCAAAAAACACACACACACAAACCACAGAAACATAACCCCCCCAGTCCAAACCCACCCTCCAAAA